AGAGGGTGAGGAAGAGGATGCAGAAGAGGATATGGAAGAATAAGGGTTAGCAATGAAGGAAACGGAAGAAGAGTAAATGCAGATCCTAGATTTAGAAATTGACGACTTATTGAAAATCCAGTTAATATCACAGATCTTTTAAAAAAAGTAAAAGCCATTATTTACTTATCTATGAAAGAATACTGGAATGTTTCAAAACGAGTAGGAATAATGGCAGCAATTTTGATCTGTGACTAAAATGTCTCAAATTTGTTAATAATGACACTATCAAATCTCAAACAATTAGGAAATTACGTAAATTTTATTCTGCTGAGAAATTAGCAAGTAAATTAAATCCTTTAAATGATTCTATCAGCAATTCCCAGCAGAATACAACATCTTCATCATCAAATTCCATTATTGCTGCACTCTTGGATGATGATGATAATGATAATAACATTAATGATATTAACGAAGTTGATGTTTATTTGAATTTACAGGTATCAAAATAAAGATGTGATCCTCTTGATTGGTGGAGGGATAATTCAAAAAGATTTCCTTTATTAAGCTGAATTGCACGTAAATATTTGTTAATACCTGTGACTTCAGTACCAAGTGAAAGACTGTTTTCAGATGCTGGATTGCATATTACAGCCTGCCGCAACTGTTTAAGTCCAGAATTAGTTGAGAAGCTTTTATTTTTAAAATGAAATATAACATTATTTCCAATTTTCCACCCAATGAGTAGTTTAAATATTTAATATAAATTTGAAGTTTGGAAGTGGGCCGTATTATATGGAAATTTTTGTAGAGAATTTTTGCATTTTTACGTGATTATATCAATCAATAAAGTATATCGATGTAAAGGATTTTGTTACATAAATAAATGTTGCATAAATAAATAAATAATACAGCAATAAACTTTTTAAACTTTAAATTTTTCAGATATATAATGTTAGTTGATTTATTTAGTGGCTTATATAATTTACAATAAAAATAATAAAAATTATCAGTATTAAGTTTCATCGTAATGATCATACTATTGTGCTATACATTTTTTACTATATCTTAAATTGTTGCCGATGACAATCGAATCTTTCACAAAAATATTTTAATGTATTGTAAGCATTGATGGTCATTATTAAAGTGATAATTTTACAATATCGTTTTAGATATAAAATTATATATTAAACTGGGTTGCAAAAAGTAAACTGGTTTAAAACAGGTTTCTGATATCGTAACCGATTTGGAGCACTTTTTTTTTTTTTAAGATGATTTCAGATTGAGTGGTTGATTATACTCCAAACGCCTCGTTTTAACGATTTGTAAGGTATCCCCGAAGGGTCATAGCGTCGAATACACCCTTAAGCATTGACCTCATATTTCAGAGGCCTCTGCCACCGAAACACATCCCCTAGGTTGTGCCACTGAGGTATGATATCCTAAACTCCAATATTCCCATATGCGGTGTAAGGTATCTCAGCAACCCTGGTACTGTTAAATCTGAATAGAGGGTACATCACAGCTATAGTGAATGTCATTACTACTTTTACCAATGATCCGGGTGAACTATTATCAAGATCCAATTATTTGGTTTGACATTGATACGAAGTGACCTTACGCGGCTTATGCCCTGGGAGCTACCATATCTGTATAGACCACTTTCAACTAGGTGACTTTGATACCCATTACGTCAAACAACTCAGGAATCGAACCTGATCTCTAACCCTAGTAACAGCTCGATTTGGGCCAGTATTGCAGCGTGCAATGCAGTCTAATTATTACTGGTTTGTTATCCAATCTACTAATGTTTGGTCAAACACTTTCTAATTTTATACATGTAATCACTTCGACAGTGATCACGTACAGAAATCAGGGCCCCTGCCAGGTGAGAAGGGAGACTGTATCCATTACAGACCAATCAACGAAGGCCAAATTTCTGTTGATTCCTGGCTTTATTTGCTTTCCCATGTTCTAACGCCGTGCAGTATTTAGGCATGATCAATGTTAATCGATGGATTGATTAACCAAATTTATATGCATATTAGTTTATACGCCCATCATTTCAGTTACAAAGAGATTCCTTATGGAAAATCATACAGTTTTATGTATCGGCTGATACCTGAACTGATGGCCTATTGCTGTGTAATGAAACTTTAGCTTAATAGGAGACTCGCGGTTTAACCATTGAGCCATGGCTGCCACACCATTACCAATTTGGAACACTACCTATAGACTGTAAACCTTTCGAAGTATTTTGACCATAATATTATACAAATTTTAATGACCGTAAACCTTTCGAAATATTTCAACCGTAGTATTACGCAAACTTTATAGACCGTAAATTATTTGAAGTATTTCAACTATAATATAGCGTAAATGTCACAGATTGTAAATCTTACAAAGAACTACATCAAAAACATAAATTTTACGTAAACTTATTGCCGTAATACACCTATAAATTTACGAACTGTAAACCTTATACAATAGTTCGTATTAAAAATATTCCTGATGTATATGATATATCAAACATATTTGACATATATAATATATTAGACATATTAGTTATATCTTTCTATATATTGTATTTTATATAAATAAATAGCTTTTTAGATCATGTAAAAAGTAGGAGTTGACAAGTCAGTTTTCTAGTAGTTTTAAGAGACAAACAGGTCTATTGTGTTATACTTTAGTTTTAGTATTTCATTTCTTTATTTATTTTTTTTTCTTTTGTCATCTCTTTTATTTTTTTATTTCTATTTTTTTATCTCATTAATAAATATCTTATTTTAAAATATAATTACTTGATACATTATAATTTATTGTTTGTGAAATACTCATATAAACCCTTTTATTTAAATTTAGTCATAAAACTATACTTGTAAAACATTAAGATTACTGTGTAATTAAAAGAAATAATCCTCTGATATCCTGTCTAACAGTTGTAATTCACAAGAATTACACGTTAACAGTATTTAAATAAACTTTTTTTCCTTTATTTTTTTTTATTTTGAATTTTACAAATGAATAAAAGATAATTAACAAAAAAAAATATTTTTTTCTCTAAGTAAAAATAATACAATAAACAAAAAAAACTTTATTTAATAATTAAGTATAACAAAATTTTATTGATAAAAAAATTGTTATTTAATAATATACTTTAATAAACTTTAATAAGTTTAATAAGTGATCTGTTAAATTAAAGTTTATTAGTGTCTATTACATAAGTAGCCAGCTAATATACCTCAATAGTCAATAACTTATATATTAATATAAGGCTTTATGATATTGAGGTTTAATAAACTTATAGCCAAATTGATAATGATATAATTAATAATATAAATAATAAAACATGATAATAAACTTAAAGGTTATATAAAGATATTGATTTAAAATTTATATTAATCAAATTATATAAAACTTCATTTAAAATATTAGCTTTCAACTTATTCATAAATGTTATTACAAATAGTATATTATAAAAATTTTGAATATTTAAAACTCATATAAAATAAGATTAAAAGATCTTATATAAATGTTTTTCTTTAAAATAATATTATTAAAATGAGTTAGATTTATTTACATAAATTATATCATATTTATTAGTGATACCTGACGAAATTATCTTTCTTAATATGATAAAATTGACAAAACTGAAATGACAAAACTATTTTTTTATTAATGATGAAATTATTTTACTTAATTGCTGAAATTATATTTAACTTGATCTAAATTTCTTGAATTAAAATACATTAAAAAATATAATAATTTTATATTTATTCATATAAAAATATTAAAGAGACGAAACTTTTGACGAAATTACAATTTTTCAAAAAAGAGTTTAGTCAGGTATCACTAATATTTATTATACAATAAAATTATTATATTATTAAATTTTAAGCTTTTTCATAATTAATGTAATTTTTAATTTTTAATTATAATAATTAAATTATTTTTTATTTATATTATGAAAAAAAAATCTATACCTTTTTTTTTTAAAAGTATATTAAAATGATTTTCATTAAGACTTTATTTTATAAAAAAAAAGATAATATACTTTATTTTTTTCAATTATAGAAATAAAATAGTAAAATCAAAATTGAAAAAAAACTTAAAAGTAATTAAATATAAAATATCTGAAAAAATGAAAAAATCTTGTATTCTTATGAAATAATATAAGTTTTTACATATTTATATATGTTTTTAGAATATAATATATATATAAAATGATGTTATAATTATTAAAAATGTTATAATTATGTTGTAATTCTTGTTAGAATAAAATTTATTGATTGATAATATAGTTAATTTAAACTAAAATCAAATTTAAAAATTATTATAAAAATCATCTTTAAATATATATATAAAAAATATCATATGATTAACGTTAAGGTTGCTGGACAAAATCTAAAGTTTAAACAGATATTTAAATAATAAAGGTAAAACTTGATTAAATTATATTAAAACCATATTAAAAAATCTGTGAAATTAGGATAAGGTAAAATTATATCAAAGCTTATAAAAATGGTGAAACTATATCAAACACTTAGTAAAAATTTAGTGAAACTAAAGGTTTAAACCTTTAATCAAATCTAAAAAAAAGTATAAACAAATAACCTTACATATGATTGATCTAAAATTTTATTTAGAAATAATTTATTAAATATTTAAATTCAAAAATTTTTATTAAATATATTTTTTAAAATATTATTGATAATAAAAAAAATTTTGCAAGTTTTAATTTTATATAAATTATTAAATTTCATAAATTTTTTAAAAAAATTTTTATTAAAATAAAATTTTTTTAATTTAAAATTATTGGTAAATAAATTTGATTTAACTAATAAGAATTAAAATATATATATATAAAATCCTATTTATATATAATTAAACAATATATATATATTTTTTTTTTAAAAAAAAAAAAAAAAAAGAAAATAATTTATAAAACAAAAAGTAATAATGTTACATATAATAATAATAATTAATTTCTAAATCTTATTTCTTTTTACTTTTATATGTCATACATTAAATGACATTATTGAATCCTTAACATATAATTTTACAGTTCTATCAGCTACCCATTCAAACTCGACAAATTCTAATATTAAAGCAATGGATAAATATGCTAAATTTAAAGCAAAATAACTTAGCAAATAAAAAACGTAAAATAAATTTACGATGTAAACAAAACTTGAAACCTACCATCATCACCAAGATTAAAACTGAATGTTTTAAAAGGTTTAATGGAACTTAATAGAGGTGCTTTAAACCCTTTAGCAACATCTATTCTTGATGATCCATTACTATTGCCTCCATTACTATTTGTTAATGATCCTGCGATCATTCCAAATAGCCCAGGATTTGGATTCCATACTCTTACTGTGCCTTCTTCTAATGAACAAGACACAATTAATTGTCCATCTCCTGAAAAAGTTAATGCAGTAACTGATTTTGTATGTCCCTAAACAATGATTTTTTTGTTAAATATAAGTGATTTAAGAAGATAAAAACAATTCACTAATCAACTCTAAACCCGCATTAGCTTACTTCTAATATATGCCACCTAGTTGCGGTTCTCAAATCATAAATAATCGAAGCACCTTCAAGTGTACCAACAGCTAATTTTTGTGAACTACCATGAAAAGCAATCGAAGGAAATGTTTTAACTAAATCATGTAATACACTAGTTGTGGTTTGTAATACTCTCTCTCTCATTTTTGGTATGTTAGGATCCAGAGATTTTACTACCGCTTCAACCAATCCAGATAAATGCGCATGTAGAACTAATGGTTTCCTACGTATGAATAACGATATTAATTTTAAAAACCCCACTTTTTCTGTTGGTTTCTTTGAATTATTTGTATCATATATTAATGTTGATATACATAATGGAGTGTTAGCTATAGATATTTGAAATATGGCTTTTTGTGCCATTGCTTTAACCGTTACAGCATTTATTTCCGTCTCTATTGCCAATGCAAATATCGTTTTTAAAACCGCCACGGCATCAAAATGTATAAAACAAAAAAAAAATAATTGAAGTTAAAGAAATAATTATTTGGGATAGATTTTCTTTTCGCAAAAAAAAAATAATAAAGGATATGAGGCTCCCAAGTTGAAAATCCTCTTCCGCATAATTCAAGTGCAGCTAATCGATGTGATATTTTGGAATCATCATGTAATAATAAAATCAATGACAATGCAATATTCTTTGCAACTCTAAAGAATCATAAAATAAACATTAGATTGAAAAGGATACATGAAATTTATACTATTGAACAAGGTGAACCCTTCAAAATAAAAAATAACAAACGTTTTTGACAATAACTTTGGATGATCCGATCCGATCATTCCAAGCAATATAGTAGATCTAGCCATATACTGATTAGTATAAATATCTGGCGAAGTGACTGCTGGTACTTGATTCAAATCAATTGGGAAATAAATAAGTATAAATTTTCTTAATAAGAAAAAATATTATTGAACACGCAAACTCACAAAACTGTTTCCAATAATCAATGATTGATTGTAACTCTGAGGATGGCATATTATTTAACGTTGTTTGAAAAAGTGCCCTTGCTGATGTCCTTATGTCCTCTATTATATACATAAAAAGAGAGGTTTTTTTTTTTAAAAAAAAATTATATCCTTTCGATTTCGCCATCTTTGGCTAAACTATATTTAAGCTTACCAACTGGATCCTGAAAATACCTTGCAAGAAATGCAAGAGAAGAATGATAAAACTTTTCTCCAACAAGTTCTGGTAACAATGATCCATAATGTGTTATAATATCACTTGAATATTTTTCCAATCCTGTATAGATACAAATATTATTGTAAACGAAAAATTTTGCATAAATTCATACAAAAATATTGAATTACCTTTCATGGAAAGGAATGAACGTATTAGTCCAATAATTGACAATAAACGTGACGCTGACATCGTTTGTGATATCTTCCATGCTGCCGTGCCATCATTAGGAGAAGGAACAGCAATTGTCAAATTACCATTTGCACTATTTTTGGTTACTAGTCATCCTTAGCATATGAAAAAGGAAAAAAAAAACAGAATAATATAAATTTCCTTTTACCCCCTCAATCCAAAAGTTACTTGACTTGAAGGTTTTTTTAAACCTAATTTCTCGGTACATATTTTGTCCACAGAACTATCAATTCCCCATGTCATCAAAGCGGAAACTATGACTTGAACGATACTAGCGTCAATAGCCTTAGTTTCCGTTTCAGTTGGAGAAGGAATAGAAGCAACAGATGATGATGATTGTGAAGCTCCAGCAGTTGTCCATGAAAATATCTTGGACATCGTTGATGGCTTTTCATCAAAATCTTCATTTATTCCATTTGATCCATTTAAATTATTATGCTTTGAACCAAATTGTGACACATGATAATGATAAATATCATTTATAAGTTGTTTAACATTTATTATAAAAACTTGGACCGTTGTTCCTACCATTTTTTTTTTTTAAAAAAAAGCATAATTGTTAGGATATGTAAAAATATATTTAATAACAAATAATTATTAATCATACCTTCATTTGCTGAATTATCTGTAAAAGATGTCAGAGTCTTGGATTTACTGTTTCTGTCTGTGGTTGATTCTTGTTTTTCCAATGAGCTATAAATAAATTAAATGTCATTATATCTTTTTGAGAATAAAGGAACGGGAATAAATATCAAACCTCGTCTTCCATAAATGATCTTTATCTTTTAACATATCTCTTGCAGCTGAACCAGCAACTATTTGAATAAGTTCCGACGTTTGTGTCTAGGAATAGGAAACAATAATAATTTATAAAGGAATATTTTGTTAAAAATAAAATAAAAAAGTGAATTTCAAGAAATTTTGTACCAAACCTGCCAGATATGAGCCGAGTCATCTTTATAAAATAAAACTATAGACCCTTCAGAAGTTCTCCATTGGATCGTATTTAACTGATATGGATAACCTCCAAATACATATAAACTATATTAAATGTACACTAATGGTAAATAAAAAAATTTATACATAAATAAATGTCTATATAAAAAAGACTGAACTTTTACCAGCTCATCTCGTCCAAAGAAATTATAGCCAAAGAATTATCTTTAGCAACAGACAATACGCATCCTTTAATCCTAATTCTTTGACACTCTTCAATTGGAGGTTCAAAAAATCGTGTAACATATTGACTATGATACTTAAAAGAAGCAAGTTTCTTCTTTTCTCTTCACAGAATTATATAAAAAACTTCGTGAATAATAGAACAAAAAGAATTACATAATCATCAAAATAAAAGACTAATACACCAATAAATAACTTACTCCAAACTCCATATCCTAACTGAACAATCTTCACCACCGGATAAAAGATACTTTTTCCCAAAGCTTTGTGAACAAGGTGTATATAAACAAGTAACCTTACCGATATGACCTTTTAATATTGAATCTGGCGGTACCTCCGAAACCGATTGTGTTAATGCCATTGGTATTGGTAAAAGATGAATTTCTCCATTCTCTATAAAAATAATTTTTTTTAAAATATTTAATATCATAAATTTGTCAACAAAATCCACATAATATCATACCATATCCAATAGCTAAATAATCATCATACACCATCGTTGTGACTGTAATATGGTCATTCTGATGTTTTAACGGACATATGTCAGATAAATTTGTTTCTATAAAAGGAAATTAAATAGATGTTAACTTTTTAAAACAAAAAAATTTTTTTAAAAAAAAGAAAAAATAAGAACGAGACTAAATAAATTAAAAGAAAAAAGTCTTTATGAACTTGCCCGGATGCCACCTTAATTCCCGAGTATGATTATTATCACAAATTCCAGATTCTTGTGCCGCTGGTGATAATGATCTGAATGCAAATGAGGTGCCATTTGCCTGATTACGGAAAGTAACCAAATACAAACTCGACAACTTTCCTTCAATACACGATGATAAAATTACAGTCGTTACAGCAAGACTCGCTTTATCTTCATTATCTGAACAAACAGACTCTAGTAACTGAGGTCTATAATTATAAGTAATATAAAAAGATAAATTATTTCCATATCTCAAAAAGTTAAATGATATAGTAGTATTTCTAACCTTGACAGAGGCGAATTTGGTAATTTATTAACATTGGCTTTTTGTAAATTAGGCAGAGATGACCTTCGAATTAGGCCTGGCTTAATATGCAGATGAGCACTTTCCGGTGGAAATTTCCTTTCCGCGTATGACGGTATTGAATACAAATAAGCATCTCCTATCTGCATATTTCCAAAATAATTGATATGCAAAAATTAAATAGGATTCATACAAAAACTTGAATATATTCATCATTACCTGATTCCATAATAATACTCGATTTTTCGATAAGAAAATTCCGCTTGCCCAATAAATTCCTTCCTTTGGGATTCGAATACGTTGAAAATTAACCATCATCCCACGACAGATTGTAAATATCTAAATGACCAAAAAAATTTTTTTTTTATTGCTCGCATATAAACTAATATTAAATATGTTATTTATTTCCACACTTACAATAACATAACTCTTCGTTATTGCTAGTATAACTCCAATATCGTATGGATTACTAATTAATTCCAATATTTTATCTCCCTGTGCATCTAATAATCCAACATTATCATATTCTTTCATAATTGTATGCTTTGATTCATCAAATGTCCATATTTTCAAAATTCCATTGAAATTTGAAGTTAACAATCTTATTTGACGAGCATCTGAATTGATAAGTTAGTACGAAAATTATGAATTGAAGAAATGTATCGAACATTTTTCATTTACCTGAATCATAAAAAGGGGTGCAAGTCACCCAATCATTATGACCAACCCAAATTCGCACAGTCTAAATATTAGAATTTATTTATTAATATACCCGAAAACATAAATGTCCAGTAAAATTAATTTAGTATACCTCTAGTGATGTGCAATTTAATATGGCGATCTCATTTAAAAATCCAGAACAGAGAAGAAATTTCGCTGGCTATAATTATATAATTATATAATTATTTATTAATATATAAGGTTTAATATATTAGAAAATTGACATTCTATATTACCTGAGCATACTCGGCTAAAGGCTTTAAACTTTTGATAATTCCATCAAAAGCTCTGTGAATGCTCATAAGGCACCTTCCATCCAATAAACACCACTTAATAACATCACTATATAACCCATATTCCAATCACAGCAGTAAAATAAATGGATAATTAGTTATATAATGTAATAGATCGCCTTAAAATAAAAGTAAAGATATACAAATACTCTACCCATCTTCTGAGGCGCTTATCACTACATGATCATTTTCGGCGCAACCGTCAGTTTGACCTTTTACAATTGTTAAAGCGGTAATCGAAGATTCATGACCAACACATAATACCTTATGTTGTAGCTAAATTATTTACAAAGATAAAGTCAAATTAGATAAATGATGATGATGATGATGATGATGATGATGATGGTTGATAATAATTATGATAACAAATATATTGTATTTGCTTTAGAATAAATATTTTTGTATATATTTTAAGGCTTAAATTTACTTATTATAAACTAATTCGAAAGGCCTTATCGTTATATAAAGGTAGGGCAAGTTATAGTGAGGTTGCTATAAAATTCACCTGAAGAGTTCCTTGCTCGTCAATAATACAACGATATATCCAAAGGTGACCGTCTTTAAGTCCAGTAACAATGTGTCCCTCCTTATAAGCGACAGTAGTTACAGGAGCAGTAGGCAATTTATTCCAAAAGACCAATGGAACGATCAAAGAAGACGAAGCCATCGAAAAGTTAAAAACGAAAAAAAAAAAATTGTTGATTTAAGGAAATAAATGAATAAATGAAATAAAATGAACAAATAAAAGTTACTATTTAATCAATTAATCATTAGCATGGGATATATAATCCAAAATTAGTTTAAATGCATTTAGCCAGGATGACATCAGGTCACATAAGGTATAAACGGAAAGTATTTTCAAGTGGGCGGTTAATAAATTTATTTATATGTACAGTATATCAAAATGTTGTTCATTCGAATATTCCAAAGAGTGAGAACAATTCACAGATCTTCAATCTTTTATGCAATGTCGATTATCGTTTCCTCGCTTGATCCTAGATAACTTTTATCTAATCATATGAAAAGGCTCGTCGCTTGAGTTGACAGACGATCCGATCCGATCGGTCATATGATCCATCTCCCCGAGATTCGTTGAACTTCACTATCTAAACCACAAAAATCGTTTTCATTTATTTATAAAACCTCATTATTTCAAGATAAAATATCGAAAAAAAAATGTCGTCGTCAACCTTCTCTCGGGGATTTTCAATGCAAAAGCTTACATTATTTAGATTGAAAACATTTTATAGATATTTTTCTACCACATCAGTATCTTTTGCACGTAATAAACCTGGTTCAGGAGGATTGGGTAAACGAAGAGATCCTAAAGCAGAATTATATGATATTGACAAAATGCCAGATTACAAATTTGACGCTATAACCAAGCCTGGATATGATATTTTATTAGCTCAACGAGAAGTTAGAAATTATCTGAGAATAACAAAATTCGAATTGCCTCAACTTTCAGGTAAGTAATAATGTGAGTTTTTAAGATCTTTTACTACATATTTGAATCTAAACCCCTTTCGATTCATAAAACTTCTTAAAATAGTGTTTGCAGAAAAATTTACTCCACCCCTACCAACTTCAATTCTTTGTTTTAAAAATTCATATTACGTAGGGGAATCTTCACCATTACAAAACAAAGTAGTTCTTACCATAAAATTCTGTGATATTAAAACGTTACTTACGCCTAAACAATTACATAAATTTGTCATATTATGTGGTCCTAGATTTAATGGAGTAGAATTTAAATTCTCTTGTGACAAATTTCCTCATATTAATCAAAATAAGAAATATTTGAGTGATTTGGTTGATAAACTTTTGGAGGAATCCAAGGTAACTTGAATTAAAATTGTTTTATAATGAAAAATTGATTTAACATACTCATTTTGGAAAATGAATGTTTTAGAATGAAGAAGATATGTTTGAGGATATACCAATGGACACAAGACATATAGTAAAAAAATCAAAGAAAAAGAAATTACAAGATCTCAAGTTTCCTGTGGAATGGTATAGACCTAAGCAACAAATAGACCAACGAGCGGAATTACTTGATCAGACAACATTAACGACGACCACAACAACTGAAAATAATAATTTATCGGCAGAAGTTAAAATTTTGGCGGATGAAATTACTGCGCCATGATACAAAACATCATTGATAATTGTTACACAAGGATCTGCATAATATATCTATTGTATAACTAATATACAGTACATATGTGCTACCATTTAATAAATAATTTGAATTTATTTGTAAATTAATAAAATACTTGCAATTTAAATTTTTCTCTCGCATAAAAATAAAAATATATATTTACAAAATACCAAAGATCCTCCTAATACATTCTTTCTGGTTTTTTTTTTAAAAAAAAAATTTCAAATAACAGCTATTAGTAAAATTTCTTCAGTTACCAACCGTCAGGTTATTTGGAATTACCATTCTCTAATTTTATAATACTGAAATTATTTAATTCTTGCTGGTATTTCTCAAGAATTTTTGTATATTCATCATAAATGCATTCCTTATTAAATGCTTCTTGGAAAGTATCATTCCATTTAAGAATAATTTGTATAAGTAAATCCTCAGCATAAGCACATACATCACGAATATAAATATCATGTTCTTCTTCATCTTCCTCTGCACGCTTTTGTTTCACTTTGGCATTAGTAAAAAAAATATTTGAAAGGAACTTTTCGATATGTGAATACTATTAAAAAAAAAAAAAAAAAAATGTAATTAGCGAATAAAAAAAATTAAAGAAATTTTAAATTAAATGGTGCATACAAACCTCAAAAATTTTACATATAAGATCTTCAGGATAATATATCACGAATGCTAATACACTCATCATAATCAATTTACGCAATTCCCAACATTCCGAAGCGCGATATGACTTAAATAATGATGGTATTATTATATTTGCAAAAAGCTTTGCTTGCTTATTCAATATTGGCTGAGAAGTAATACCGCAATCAACCTTCATTTCTTCATTATTCGCGTCGTTATTATGAACAGTCTCTGTCAACCAATCTACTAAAGTTTTAATAAAAACTTTTAATGCTCAAGAATTGATTATCGAAATAAAGAAATTGATGAACCTAAATAAACGAACCTTTTGAAGTCCATTTATGACTAATTTTACCATCCGAAACCATAAGATGTAACATTCCTGGTTCCGGTACTTCAGGAAATAATGACAAAATAAAATGACAGACTTGCATATAAAGCTTTATTGGTTCCAAGTTCACATATCTATAGCGAAGTTTTGTATTGACCTCAGTCACTATCTCCCCAATCTTACCATCAATTGGTAATTCCGAGTATATATCTTCTACGTTTCTACGTCGTTCTGCACTATTACCATTACCATTATCATTTCCATTTGGATTACCGTTGGTATTGGCATTGTTGCCATTATGGTTAAGATTATTATTATTAACCAATTCATTCTCATTTTGATCTTTCTCGGGATTGTTGATGCTTTTCCTTGATAATACATCAAACAAGGCCTTAACGACTCCATTTTCAATAAGTAAGTTTGTTATTCTACGCGATTTATTTATTAAAGTATTGAACATTTTCCAAATTCTCAATTGATTATATTCACTATATTTGTATTAAATAAAGAAATGTTAAACAAGGATAAAAAATTCTTTAAAAAAAAATAATCGAAACTTACTCGAATTGTTTCATACGATAAGTAATATTCTTAATCACATCCGGATTTGAGAATACCAGTAAAGATTCAACATCCCCACGATATCGACTTATTAAAGAACATAAACTAATACAACACCATTTTGTAACCTCGGGCATTTCGTGATCAGCAAAGAACCCCTGAAAGTCAACTGTATTGAAAACCTCAGCCAGCAATTTTTTAATATAACGACGAGGAGCCTTACAAGTGCAATTTGCTAGTAATTTCAAAGGCAAAACCCGATCCTCATCAATTAAAAAAGGCATGATACTTTCCATGATATTTTTGAAAACATTTTTCTTGACTATACTTTCTGTACAATCGATAAAAGTTGGCTTTGAAAAATTATACAATGCCTAATAATAAGAAATAATTTCGAAATAAAAGTAAATAGAAAATACTCGTAAATATTTATAAAAAATTTGCAATAACATACCAATATTATGTCTTTTAAATGTTCCGAATCATAAGTACGTGGCCCCTCCGTTAAAATATTACATAACAAGGGAATAGCATCCTCTCTTATAGCACGGCCAATCATAAGCTCAGAGTTGTCACCCAAGGTCATCACCAAATTTCCCAAACATCGGCTTGCCATTGTTATAACATTTGGATCATTTCCTGTACCTTGAAACACATCCCGTTCCAAAAGTTGACGTAGAATATCCGGTTCAAATTGTTGTAACATTAAAGCTTCAATTGAAGGCATGGAATCATTACTTGTGGTTTTTTGAACTACTTCCAACAGCTTCTGTACTAATAAATCGAGGTTCCAGTTACTAAGCATAGGTCTATCAAGTAATAAGAAAAAATTTGCGAGCCTGGCCAATTGTTCGCTGTTACAATCCGTTCGAGATATTGATTTTAAAACCTCTTTAATGTCGGAAGGTAAGAAACTATTTGGATGTATAATCTGTGGTTCATTTTCGTGAATTGATTCATGAATATCGTCCGTATCACTGTCATTCTCTTCCCCATCATAATGAATATCATGTTCGATCTCGATTCCATCTGAATTAAGTTCCACATCAAGAGGTTGGTCTATACTCATTATATTGGATTCTGTGAAATACCATGCGTATAAACCATGTTAAAAATATGCTATTCTAAAAGGTGTGATATGTACGTAGTTCGCAAAAAAGTGCTTATAGAAAAAAAATATGCAATTTTATTTTTGATAATACCGAATCTTAAATAATTAAATACGGCTCACCAGTATCTGCATTATCTCTACTCATAATTTCAGAAGATATTTCCATTTGTTCTGGTTCATCAATATCCATGGATTCATAATCATCAATAGTATTATCAATAGCATTGTTCATATTTATTTGTCTACTTCGATAAAAGTATCTTAAATGATCAGGAACGTTTTCACCAATTTCTTGATTTGCTTGCTGACTTGAATTAGCAAGAGATCTGGTAATACGACGAAGTACGCTAAAAAATTATATAAAAATTTCTATAAGACGATTATCTTCGATGCATTCTAAAGTAGTTAGAAAAAGATATCGCACTCTGATGATCTTGATAATGATGACGATGATGATGAATGAGTGCTGCTTCTTCGCCAAGATCTCCTATCCATCTCTTATTAAGCCACAAATCGACTACTGTGTCTGATCTAAACAATTAACATCATACAATTAAGTACATACGCGCTTAAAAAAAAACCATCAAATCCAAATTATATATTAACACACTCAAAAGGTAACTTAATTAATCTTAATATCAATAAATGAAAATTAATGAATTACCTAATTAAATAAATAAGAAATTCCTACCACAGTATTTAATAAGCTACATAATAAAAATGAATGAATGCTTCTTTATCATTTTTAATTTAAAGTATAAGATGAAATACACCTCTCTTCAGAAAAAAATTTGGTCATTTACTTTATATTCACCTGAAATCGTTTACAAAAAATTTGTGAACCGGAACCTAAAATCATGCTACCAAATTATTTCTGAAGTAAAAGAAACTGCGCCTTTTCTATACGATACCTTATTTGTTGTATTGCCTCAAAGTTCTCAATTTTAGAACCGTACAAAGTTAAATTTAATAATCTAATGAGGAACTATATGAATCTTTAAGTGATAATTTGTAAAGAATACTAAAAAACTTATACGAGGTTATATAGCATTAATAAATTGCTAAACTTACTTTCAATAGGCTATCGCTTTGGATTTATTAAAGATCAAAACAGAGAATAAACTGAGAGTGAAATAACAGCTGCTAAATTGTTTGGAGACTGACTACCTCTCCACAACCTATAATTGACAAGGGAAAATTTTTTTTTTATATGCCGAATGAAAAATTGAGAGGCTTTATATAAATTACCAAAAGTGATTTATCACGTGAATATTTGTGTTATGGTATTTGTTTATAAATAGTTCGATTTTTATGATTCCCATTTTTCCACCATTTAAATGAATGATGCAGGAAAAACAAAATGCAATTGAAATAATAGAGAAATTACTAATCAGAATAGATTTTTCAAGAATTCCCATGTTTGATAATGCGGTGATTAAACAAATTGAACGGATACGCGAAATATTAATTTCTTTCTATAATAAATGGAACGATGTAATAAGGTAGTTTGTCTTAACAAGAATTTCTCGATCAAACAATAATTTATTTATTTGTTTTTTTTTTTATATAATATGAAAATAAATTTTAGAATAACTGTGGAAAATGTAATAAATAAAACCAAATTAACTCTTAAAAATGATACGCGATTCATGAAAGTGTGCCAATCGCTGGTTTATATTATTATTCTGGATCCAGAAACTTCAAATCTTCGGCTATCCGAATTTACTCAAAAATCGCTTGAGACAAGTGACATGTCTAAAAGTATCTTAAACGCTCTTGGTAAATCATTCTACATATTGTTAGAAAATTTACATCGAATTCTAATTTTTCATGACGGGAATAACCTAGAAGTAGATTTACAATGGGTCCAAGCGCTCTTATTATACAGTTCACAATTTTTACGAAATATGACGGCGGGCAATCTAATGACATGCCATGATGAATTGGTCAGCATATGGTTCTTTATGATGGAGAAACAAGTTCAATTTACAAGAGAACATCGACAAAATATTCAATGGAACAAAATCATATCTTGTTTACAAATGATAGCCACGACTTTATCAAATGAATCGAACACGTTTTTATTCATGTCAAATTTAATAATGAATGAAATTTGGACCAATCCTGAAAGTGAACGTTATTGGGATCCGGAGAAATCATCAAATAATAATAATATTACTTCAGAGTTACAAGTTAATATGCAAAAGGACATGTCAGTATTGAAGACAACTGAAATGATGGTTGATAAGGACAAATCATTTGTCGATCGAAAAGTAGTTTATCGGCCGAGACTTCAACTTTATCGTAAAAATTGGACATACAAGAAACCAATAAGAATTCAGAATACTTGGCAATCGCACTTTGAGAATTGCGTAATTGAGTAATTGTTTTGTTGACTTTTCTCTCATTTTTTATTTTAAAAAAAATTAAAGTATATGTGTATATATGGGAGGTGGTGTGGAAATCTAATTTTGCACACATGAATGAATTGGCTAACTTCCTCCCATATATACAATAAAATAAAATAAAATAAACCTTTCTTTTGTTGACTTTTATTATATTTTTAAAGTTCTCCCGTAGATGAATGTTATGTATCAAATGCGATAAACACAGCAACATTTATTAAGATGTGCTGTCTGAGACCAGGTGAGTAATTTATTATTTATTGTTATGGATTATATTTTGATCTGATACGATATTTATGTCATAAAAAAAAAATATGTTTTTTTTATGCTAGATTTATTGGCGTTTGATAATGAGAGAGCTAACAAGTTGATACAGCTGCTTATGGATAAATTTACAACCGTAGAACCTTCAACTTCAGTGACAATACACGCAATGATACCAAAGGGAACGAGATTACTGAATTCTCGGTAATTATGAATACAATTCTTTCTATTGTTTCAAGTTTAATTTAAAAATGTTTTGATTGGTTCATTTTTGAAATCAAAGTGATTGGATATTGAATGAAGTCTTCAAATCTCATCTTCAGTATTGGATTTTACTCGATTATTTATCCAATGGTATATGATTTTTCTTTTTTTCTGTAAAAAAAGACACTTGAAATAATATTTAACAAATACATGTTTTCTTAGTGAATCATGAAAAATACAGAGAATTGCATGATTTTTTGATTCGAGCCCTTTTTGCACAAAATATACAATTTTGGCATTTTACTCAGAAATCAAATCCACAAGAATGTCGTTTAGAGTTGGATGCTGCTATAAGATTAATAGATTCAATGCGTAAAGTAAGTCTTGGATTTAACGATTGTATTTCCTATCCATTTATTTAATACTTTTTTTTTGTTATAGGCAGGAGATATTCGACCCCCTATGACAGAAGTTGGAAGGGTATTGCCATATTTGAATACAAGTGATATATATAATATATTGTATGAAGTGTGGAAATTTATAATGGAGAATTGGCAACAATGTCCATATTCCGATAATTTTATGGAGCAACAAGAGAATAATGATATCGGAGAAATCAATTATGAAGAAAGGGTTCGTAACATAAAGATAATTGTACAAAAGAACATTTTAAAAATACCTGATGAATTAGTTCGTTGTATATGTGATCAAACGAATAACCATTTACTATCTGAATGGAGTATTCATTGGATTGACTCAGTTGACTTGGCAATAAACTTGGATTAATAAATCTCACGTGTATCTTTTACATGACGTGATCCCTTACTTTTTTTTGACTTTGTAAATTGATGTATTTGATGCAGAGATTATTTAAAAGATTGATTTAGCGTATTTTAATGTATTTAAAAAAGGCATTCCCTTTTTTTTATAAAAAAAAGAAATAAATAAATAAAATAAAAAATGTCATCATCAGATAGCGACTGGTTGTATGACCCATTTTCCTTGGTTCAGGAAGAACGCGATTCTATTCATTTCGTTCCTGACAATTTTCTCTCTTCTACGGTTAATCACCTTCAAACTAAAGTAAGTTGTTAAAAAAGTATACTTTTATTCTGTAAAAATAAAAAAATAAATAAATAAATAATTGGTTTTTCATTTTGTATTTATTTTACTGTAATAGCTTGAAGATTACTGGAGAGGTATATAAAAGAAAAAATTTCGAATTTCATTTTTATCATATTATTTATTTCACTTTTATTATCGTATTTAGTATCACCAGTCATGGCACAGTCTGAAGCGATCCAAACAATTGATGCCTTTATCATGACAATTCATTATATTCTCATTAAATCTATCCAAACGCTGGCTTCTTCACCAAAAATTTCCATTACATTCTATAAGCACTCTTCTGGTCACATTATCCACGAGATCCCTTGCGAATCGGATCGAAAGATGTTTGATAACTTTAGCGATATCGGATACAACTTGCTTCATAATAAAAAAATTAACGAAAAATGTGAATTACATTTTGTTGAAAAATTTAATGGTTATGGGTTCAGGTGGAAAAGATACTTCGATTACAGAAATGAATGTGTAAGGTTGAATGTATCTATTAAAACCAAGACTGATGAGATACTACAAAGAGTAAAAATTGCTGAACCACCTTCTTATAATGGTGCTAATAATAGTGGTGGTGCTAATCATATCTAGCTTTGATGTTACTAACCAAAAATGTGAATATTGATTATCTTTGTCATCATCGTCATACAATATAATAAATATAATAATAATTATGATTTTCAGGAATAAAAATTTTCAAATTGTATTTCACCACTTTCTTTTTAATAAAAAAAATGTCAGCGAATCAGTCTACCCAAACCATCATTAATTTACCTTCAAATGACGAGAAAATTCAATCAAGACAAGAAGCAATTAAATCTCATCTTCCACGCGTTTCAATCGAATATTGTATTCAATGTCGTTGGTAAGTCCGAAAATGGGTATATATATTTATATTTTTGTAAATATCTCTCTTATTTAATTTATTTGTATAGGGTATTACGTGCAGGATGGATGGCACAGGAATTATTGGTTACATTTAATGATCTCCTCGGTGAAGTAGCTTTAATTCCTGGCTCTAAGGCCGTTTTCAAAGTTCATATCAATGGAGGTAATATAAAAATACATGGATTTATCTTACATGTTATTAGGGTTAGTTAACCTTGATTATAATTAGAACTTATTTGGGATCGTAAGCAAGAAGGAAGATTTCCAGAAATGAAAGAATTGGTAAAATATTAAGATAGTCTCCACATACTTTTTTATTCATTGTAAATTCTAAATTAACGTTTTTCGCTCTTTATCCTAGAAAACGCTTATTCGAAATAAAATTGCTCCCGATATGAATCTTGGTCATAGTGATGCAGATAAAAAAGGTGAATCTGCTAAAACAACTGCCACCAATGACGAGGTGACCGAAACAACTGAAGTATGCAAAGATTGTGCTTAGCTTCTTAACCTTGTTTAATTACTGTATTAGTAATAAATTATACTTATTTATTGAGATTATCTCAAATAATTTTGATATCATTAATTTCTATAAAAGGATTAATTGAATCAACAAATGAGCTATCTATAAAGATATCATGGTTTGTTTGCATATATAACGATAAGAAATCCCTTAAAATATAGGCCCAGATTACGCAAAAAATTTTAATTTTATCAAGGGTTATATAACAAGAATATTCTTGTTCTAATTCTTTAAACATTTTATTATCTTTATTATTGGATTGATCCCGAATTAAAAGATTACAAAATGTATTTCTTTCTGAAATCACATAACATGAATCAAGTATAGGATGCAATGTCGTTTTGTTAAAGTTTCTATCGAAGAGAAATATATTTCAGCGTGTGATGCAACGGTTCGTTTGTGGACTGTTGTCCAGATTTACTCTTTTTTGATGGTAAAGATTTTTCTGTTATAACGAAAATTAGAATTAAATAATCATAATAGTAAATTATCTTTCAAAAAGAATTCCTCACCTATGGGATCTGATATATTGCAATTGTCCTTCCCAAGTAGCTTCTTCATCGCGTAATAAGTCTATGATTTTTTGAACGCCTTCATATTATTCTTCTGATGATAATTAGAAAGATAATATTGGAAGATATTAATCCAAGACTGATTGATCAGTATTGAAGCCTTGTGGGTCATTTCAGACTTATTTTTCTTCAAAAAACCCAGAGATTGAAAAAAGATGGATGAAAAAAAATTGATAAAAAAAGTTTATGTGTAACGTGATGAACGTGATGTTGAAAAAGTACAGCCACGTGATAAAAAAAGTGTCCACGTCGCAAAATTCAATCTTACTATTTATTATTTTTGTGTCACTCAAAAGGAATACTAATATCATCTTTTAATACGACGACACTCTTTATCCTAACATCAAGGACAAAACTTTCACGTATAAAATAATAAGCCAACAATTATTGTTTGACGGAGGAACCTTTAATATCGAGAATCTTTCCCAAATGTTTAGCTTCCACTAAGAAATTTTTTTTTTGATATTGTGATATTAATTATCAATTAATACTCTTCATCAAGGCTGTATATGTATTAATAAATGATACACTGCCCCAAAATTTTTCATGATCTTGTAATTGTCGAGATCTTCATTGCGCATTTCGATTACGGAAAATATTTTTTATGAACACCTTTGATTGATTGGTTCAATAACAAAAGTTTTTCAATAAGCATCCCCAAAAATATCATCCCAACTCTCTTAATATCGATGTGGGTTTTATTAGAAGTCCACGTGGAAATTGAAGTTAACCCTAGCGATTTTACGTCGAAATGTCCAAACTAAAGCCAATTCTTGAAACGGAGGATATCAAATTTTTCGCTGATAAGTATCGATGTTGCATTTGCAACTTAAATACAACAAATTCATCACCGCTTATCGTTCGGTACCCATTATTCACATCGAGCAATATGTGATGTTTTCTCGACTTGGCTTTGCATTTCCTATTACAAAGAAGTACATCTACAGTTTTTGTAAAATTCAGATTTTTGCACAGAGGGAAGGAATATCTATCGTATGCCACATTCCAGTGTTTCTTGGAACCTATTACGTAAAGATCACTAAAACCATGTATGAGAAGTTAACAGAAGGCGATTTCTATTCTGTTGTTCAAAACAACTCTGAAGAGGAAACCAAAAATGAGTCTAGTAGTGAGAACTAAACCAACGATAAATACGAACGTATCTTTAACCTGAAAGTCCAAATAAAAGGTGAGATTATTTTCGACATTGTAAATTGGGCATGAGATATAATCATTTCCTAACTCAAACTCATATTAGGTCCAAAAAGCGTATGGTGAATTCAAGGAGGTCTCCAGAGAGATTTGTTTGAGTCTATTGGTCTATGAATTTATTTAAAGTTGAGGAACTTCCCTTCTGTTTAGTGAAACTTCGTCCGGTCTTTGGAGATTTTTTGGATTGGCTCATTGGATTAAAACCACTTTTTAGACCTTAAACAATTCATGATTATATAGGATTTTGTTTTTATGACCGAAATCTAGTTTTTTTTCGGTCATTTAGCTAATTTTGTCTCTAATAGCCTTTGAAAATCCTGCTGCGCCACAAAAATTACAAATCATATGTATTAAAAGAAACATAGTAAATCATATTTTCCGAACATGAGTTTTAATAGCAAACCTCCCATATATATTTTTTTCTATAAAGGCCGGCCAGGACCAAAAGACCGGTATGTTTGTGTTCGTAATAACAAGCCGTGATGCGTTTTATCCGCTGGAATGGTACGTTTAGAATCCCATAAAGCTGAACTGGGGCATTGAGATTTAATGTGGGACCAAAATGATTGGAACATAGCAAACTTACATCATTCTATATATTCTGACGCCTTTTTTTAATTATTCGATAGGCAAAGTTTTTTTTTATTCTACTTTTTGTCGCTACATTTTTTATTTTATTAATAAAGAAAGCCCGGTTCTTCCTTTTAAGAGCAGATTTATGAAACAGTATTTACGTTAAAATAAGAGTAATTTGCGTTGATTTTTGCAGTGGGTCATGGGATCGTGCTTAAGATAATTAGTAGTTTGCTTTAGTGGAGATCTCAACTTTAATCGTTGTGAAGATTAATTAAAGATAAGAATAAGGGATCTATTGATATTTATTTCGCAAAAAGTGTTAATAATGTGTCATTTCTTTACAAGGTCCATAATTCAAAAAAATTATGCCAGATCATTTTACATAACCGAGTTCAATTCTTGGACCAAGTAAAAAAAATATATAACCATGTTTGGTGCTTTTTGATGTCAAGATAAATTCCCGATTTAACCATTATCTTGCAATGCGGAAAGATTCATAGCTGTAGTATAACTTTGTCGATTCCAAGATCATGCGGTGTATGTCGCTACAAAACATATAAGAAAGAGGTAAGTTTCATCGGTGGATTTTTTTTATTCGCTCTGCTTAAATCAAACGTAAAGCCAAACGAAATTTCTAAACTTACCATTACATCATCGATCTAAAGAACAACGTACGATCAAATATAGGGTCGCGCTCTTTCAAATATGTTGTCAAAAACCATCGAAATTATATGCTTGTCTGTACGGCCAGGATATGAAACTTGGGTAACGGATATATTGAAAATTATGGAGCACTCTTCTTAAATTTGTGTAGACACTTATCTTTTAAAAAGGGACTTCGTACATTCAAAGCGTCTGTCGATTACGCAGTAAGTCTCAGTTTGTTTCTATCAATTACGTGGCAAAGTTTTGACCGAATAGGAATCCCAATAATAAATTCGCGTTATTGATCTTTTACGAGAAATTCTGTTTAAAATTTGAATGAAGAATAAATCGGGTACTATTTATTCACATTTACTGTCGCGGAAAAAATTTATTCAATGAAATTATACATTCAAATATTGAAATTTTGATTATGAATAACAGTTTTCAAATGAACAAGTTGTCCAATTTTTTTTCTTTTATAATTAGAAATAAATAAACAAGAAAATGTATTGTCTATTCCAATAAATATACTATCCAAGTTGATGTTTGATATTTCCGAAGATCACCTTTCCAATTATTACAAATATTTTCTTTTATAAAGAGAAAAATATATTATTAGTATGATTGTAATGAGGATAAAAAGTTGATAATATTCTTTTTTTGGTAAAAAGCAAATTTTCTATATAAAAATTTACCAATTAAAATTATCTATATGGTTTAGGAAAAACCCAAATCTCGGAATGTTACACTATTTCTTGTGACTTATTGTGACTCATCATCGCGTCACCCGTATAAACAATAACTAAATTATTATTCTCAACATGTGTACGTAAAATTATATTTATACCTTTTTTTTTTGACAAAAATTAAAAAAAAATACTTTTTTGCGTCTGTGAAATGAAAGAAGCTAAAAATATTGTTTAGGAATAAAAAAGTGAACGAAAGGTGAGTTATGTTACTCCTTAGTTTTTGTTTCATTGTAAGGTGAACGAACAGTAATATGCGGGGTGTGCGGCCTCCAAGCCGTGTATGATGGTGCTGACAGTCTCCTAAATAGGGTAGAGAAG